TTAAAGGTCCGAATTAATGGTGAGTTCTCTTAGTTTACGTCACTAATCTTTACGTCCTTGTGTGTATATATGAACTGATAGGTAAATACTGAACAATACTTTTACCATCTTATGGTTAGAACCATATAAAATATCTGCAGATTATAAACAGTCCGAACAAACATTTTATTTTATTTTATTTTTTGTATGCTTTGTAAATATTAAGGATTACTTAATTAGTAATTTTCATTCATAATCAGTTCAGTAACTGTGAATCTGTTATAGATCAGACATTGTCTTAATTGCACAACTACCATATAGCTTACAAATGCTCAACACTATCTCATCCCTCTCAGTGTCTTGGTTCAAATTTACAGTAACCTCTAGTTATATTTTTAAGAGAAGTCTGCATTAAAATATATTTTTATATTGTCGATTGATCTCTTGATTAATCTGTCTATCATGTTTTCACAGGTGCAGCAGAACCTTTTGTTACAATTCTCAATCACACAAACAATTGGGCGCTCCTTAAGTGTGATGTTAAGGGTGCTTCCCCCAAACCTACAGTCGAGTGGTGGGACAGTAACAATCAGATCATTCCTTCTGATCAGCCACATGTCTCTGAAATAGGAAACCGCTTCTACATCAGCCTCAATACTACTGTGAAAAAGGATGACCACTATCGCTGTGTTGTCAAACAGGAGAAAATCCACCATCAAACACATACGGAAATCTACGTCCGTTTGAATGGTGAGTGGTATTTTAATCATTAGATGATTCCAATAATTGTTGCAGTTCAAAAATGTGAACACATGCTCAGAGTGAATGCAAAGAATGATGTCTGCACAGAAACAAAAGATGAAATAAAATGTTACTCGGGTGAAAAAAGAAGTGGTGTGCGATAAAATACTCTAACTTTAATCTTAATTCAACTCATAACTGATTTTGTTTGTATATAAGAATTCTTACAGGTATCATTACATTCAGCTATTATATCAGTGTTACACATGATACATGGTCTGATTATATTACTTATTTATTTTTTATGTCTTGTAGCAAATGTTTGAGGGCAGAAACTAAAAAGTAAGATGACACCCATTGCACATCTGAGCTCTGTCTCATTAAGGAATCATTTCCCTTCTCTCTGGAAGTTTCAAACTCCCATCTCTTTAGAGACTGTGTCAGCTCTTAAACAGACAAAAACAGTAAAAAAAAAAAAAAAAAAGACAAACTAAAAATCGTTAAAAAATAAATAAATAAATAAATAAACAATCACAAAGAAAGAACAATACAGTATCCACATCTGAACCAAAGAGTAAAACAGTGAAATGTGGATTATTAAATATTAGGTCTCTCTCCTCCAAGTCTGTTAGTACATGACTTAATAATTGATCAACAAATTGATTTACTCTGCCTTACAGAAACCTGGTTGCAGCAGGATGATTATGTTAGTTTAAATGAATCAACACCCCCGAGTCATTCTAACTACCAGAAATCTC